ACCCCTTTCTCCTGCTCTTCCGGCCTGCTACTCTGTGCTATGCCTGTGCTTACCTTGCTCCCGGAGACCTGGTCACTCTCGGGAGGGTAGGAAGGGAAAGTGTTCAGTGCAGATTTACAGCTTTGGAAACCCAATGGGGGTTGCTATGAATTGGAATAGCCTCGATGGCAGTGAGGTTTTTTTTTTTTTTTGTTTGTTTGTTTGTTTTTGTTTTTCATTTTGGTTTCAATCTCTTTCAGCAATGTTTTATAATTCTCATTGTATAAGTCCTTCACATCCTTGGTTAAATTTATCCCCAAGTATTGTATTCCTTTAGATGCTATTGCAAATGGACTGTTTCCCTAATTTCTTTTTTCAGATTTCTCATTGATGGTGTATGAAAACCCAATCAATTTTTGCTTGCTGACTTTCTACCCTGCGACTGTACTAAATCCTTCTATTAGCTCTAGAAGCTTCCTTGTGTGGACTCTTTAATGAAATAAAATATGTCCTTTATTATATAATGAAATATTTTTGATTTGCTAGTGTTTTGATTGGAGTTTTTGCTTCACTTAGGCGAGTCAGAGTGGGTTGTAATTTCTCAATGTTATATGACCTCAGAAAAGAAATTGGGAAGTATTTCCTCCTTTAGTATCCTCTGGAAGCACTCATATAAGATTGTTATTATTTATTACTTAAAAAGTTGGTAGAATCTTTGAGTTTTCTTTTGGGGAATTCTTTCTAATTGTGGATTCAATTTTCTCTTTTAGATATAAAACTATTCAGATTTTCTGTTTCTTCATGATCAGTTTTGATAAATTGATTCTCCTAAGAATTTTAATGTTTAAAGTTTATTGGCATAAAGTTGTTTATAATCTTTTTTATGTCTGTATGTCTTATAATGGGAGCTCTGGTAGCATAGTGGCTAAGGCACTAGACTGCTAACCAGAAGGCTGGCGGTTCAAACCCACCAGCCACTCCTCGGAAGGAAGATGGGGCAATCTACTTCCATAGTGATACTGCCTCGGAAAACCCAAGGAGGGGTCGCTATGAGTCAGGTCCGACTCGACGGCACATAACAACAACAACAACAAGACATTTACTATGGAGCTTCCTGCTTGTAGGAGAGGGGCTGGCCTCTGTGTGTCTGTAGTATGCATAGGTATTTTAAGGGATGAGTCTTGCTC